CGTCTATTCAGCTCGGATGGCATGTTTTCGCTCTTTGTCATTTTCTTCGGATTTTAATTTGGATTTACTGTCAGGTGTTGATGTTTTTGAGTTGTTTTCGTAATTTTTCTGCTCCACTAGTCGTGCACGTCGGTAGCAGATAGCAAAATTGGGAACCAAAGACTCACAAGCGGAGGACTCATCTGAAGAGCTAACAGGTCTAATTTCTTCCGACAGAACGGAACAGCGATCGGGACGATAAACAAAACAAGACGACCAGGTAAAATAGCAAGCACAATTTCGCTCCGATCGACAGCAAACTGCACGAGCCCTGCAAAGCCATCTTTCAGATGAGTTTGAGCTCTTCCTAGGAAGTTTTGTATCAAGCCTTTCTGTAGACGAAAGGGGCTTGTCATGGCGCGACGGTGAAAAACATTTTGGCAAACGGCAGCAGTATTGTTTAAGGCAGCAGGGCATAAGACGCTGAATACAGGGCATCAGACCATGAGTCCAAAAGAGGGACAAAAAAGTTTCTCTAAATTGACGCGACATGCTGCAGTAAAGGGGAAAATTGAAGCTGCTATTGAGAAGGGTGAGCATGTCGAGAAACTCTCCAAGCTCTTCATAGATGCTGAAGCAGGGAGCTTGGAAGTGATTAAAGATCAGCAATGCCGACTGGATTGGAGGGGGAATGTAATTAACGAATGATAAAATAAATAGCCACTGATGAAATATAAGCACGCTTAAATGTTTGTTTATATACAAGAATATATTGTGTTATATTAATCAATTAATTGTTTTCCTGAATCTAATCATATCCCCTCTACGATTTGCTGAAAATAGCATAAGAAAGATAAGTAAGAGAATTTAATTAATAAAATAATCGGTGAAATTGATCAAAAATACAAATCGTTGAAAGTTTCTTAACAACTACTTAGGCAAAACCTTAAAATAGGAGATGAGTGAAATGAAGTAAGAATAAATTTTCTTTATTTTGAATTAAAGGTTTTAAATAGTATAAGTAGATTATTGTAAAGGACAATAAAATAAGTGCAATTCAGATATTCTTCTGGCAATTAAATTATTTATCTGGAACTATTTTCACTAATAATATTAAAAATTAGCCTGGAACATAGGTGAAGCCTTCAAATGATAAGAACTTATTATTACATCTGACTAAATTTGACTGAACACGCACATTTGTAAGCATCAGCTGATATGAAAAAGAAAATACATGATTGAAATGAACGAATGCATGGAAATGTTTTATACATCTGACCGAATACATTCGAATAAAAGGCTGTTACATATAATCCCTCATTGGCCAAAAAGCTAGGATTATACAATATACTTTGTTGCGAATGACTAAATAGGTACAAAATAGGTTAAAAAAGTATAGTATGCACATGTTATTTTAGGAGTTTTTTATTTATATGTGCAGGTAATTTAGCATAATTTCGCCCTTAAGAAACTTTATATCAATTCTATTCTGACGCAGTTACGTTGACCTACAGTTCATAAAAAACAAGTAATCAAAGATCAACCAAAATCAAAATGAAAGTATGGTATGAGTTTATTCAATATGCCTTTTAATATTAAATGAGCATATTTTAAGTTTGATTTATTCATTTTTCTCCCAAAAAAGAATAGTTTATTCATGATGCATGCCTTTAATATGTGTTCTCCTTTCAAAATGTGATATTTTGTAAAGGTACTGGCCATAAATTTACTCTTTAATAATCGAAGTAGGTATGATGTTTAACGTTTTATCATATCATATATATTAGAAATTTCATAGGTTTTATATATCATACTGCTTTATAATATCAAAGCAATTCATTAAATAAAATAAAATGGATGTGCCGCGGTTTTTCACTCCGTTAAAGTCCATAAATATAAGATATAAAGGGAAAAATACATAAATAAATATAACTACTGATAGGTAAGCGGACTATTGTATTGGCCTCGGAAAATAGATGCACTATTTCATTAGAAAAAATATTTATAAGTATTCAACTGAATCTAACTTAAAGTTAGATGCAAGTTATTCCAGGCTTTTCGCAATTGCTCTAATTTATATTAACCTTAGAAGTTAAATGATAGACATTTGAATATAAATTGTAGATAAATACTTTAAAGGTGAAGAAATGCTATAAATAGAATCTACTTAAGCAAGTAAAGTCAAACTAAATCCATATCATGACAAAATTTTACGACTATGGGAAAGCTCAATCTTATATCCTCTTAAAAGCTTCATTTTGCGGACCATGGAATAATAAGTAACTCTACGGCCCCTAAATATATAGTAGGTGTCTATAGGTCATTTAAATGATGCGAAAATCCCTTTAGGCTCTCTAATATGCTCAACAAATACAGCAGATAAACTGAATAAATAGACACAGGGAATATGTATTTTTTTCAATGTATTCCCCTAACTCTGAATAAAATTGGTTTGGCCTCGTTTTTGTCATAAAATCTTGACTTCAGGAAGTATTCGTAGAAAAAACCCAATTATTCTTTTTTGCCATCATTGTGCTGTGAACTTAAAATAGCGCTCTGTTGACTGTGCACATTCCTAGATGCTTTGTAGTTATTCCGTTTTTTCCTTTAGCTAGCGTTAACAACTATTCATAATCCAGCAAATTGCTTTGTTGGAGTATTCATTCACGATAGAAACTACACTGCAGGTGAAATTTATAGGATTATGCTCCAGTCGTACTACGGATGCCATACTATGACCGAACAATACTAACTGATGAAGCAATACGGAGAATGCTCTTTGTAGAAATCC